GCAAAAGGGTTTTTGAAAATTCTCCGGGTTTGATTCGGGGGGGGGGGGGGGGGTCCTCTCCCCCCTCTCCAAAAAAATTTGGGGAACAAATCGGACAAAAAAAATCCTTTGGGTTTTTTAACCTAAAATGCTTTTTACATTGAAGACCCCCAATCTGACTTGCAGGGGGGCTAACAGTTGTTCACATTCCGGAGAATTTATTATAAATTTAAAAATTTCCCCCTTTTTTTTTTTTTTTTTTTTTTTTTTCTTTAAAATTATTTAAAGTTTTTGTTTTATATTAATTTATTAAAAAAATTTTTTTTTTGGATATTTTTATAAAACTTAAAAAAAAAAAGGGGATTATAGAAAAGAATATAATACAAAAATTAAAAAGTTAATATAAATTTTAAAAATTTAAAAAAAAAAATATTTACAAAAAAAAAAAAAAAAAATTTAAAAAAAATTATAAAAAAATTATAAAAATATTTACAAAAAAAAAAAAAAAAAAAAATTAAAAAAATATTTTCAAATTAAATTTATATTAATTTTATTATTAAAACTTTAAATGGAAACAAACGACTCCAGAGGGATTGTTTCTATTTTATAGTTTTATATAAACATTAATTTTAAATTTAAATTGAATTTAATTAAAATTTAAAAAAAATAAATAATTTAAAAAAAATAAAATAAAAAAATAAAAAAAGAAATAATTTATATAAAATAATAAATATTCCACCCACACTTCCTCACACACACAAGATTTTTTTTAATAATTTTTTTTGATAATATTCTTGTTGTGTTGTAGTTGTTTTTTATTTAATTATTTTTTATTTATTTATTATATTAAAATATATATTTTTTATTTCTTTTTTTTTTATTTCTTTTTTTTTTTTTTATTCTTTTTTTCTTTTCAAACAATACTTACACTCACACTTAAATTCCTTTTTTATATAATAATCTTATTTTTTAAAACCATTTAAATCTTGTTCATTAATTCAAAAAAGTAATTTGATTCAGTCGATTTATTTTTTTTTTCTTTTACATAATATTAAATAATTTAAATAATCAATATTTTTTTTATTTTTTTTTTTTAAAAAAAATATGTTTTCTACCATTTATAAATAATACCAAACAAATAAAAATATTTCCAATCCACTATTAAATATTTTATTACTACTTTTATTAATTCTATTTAATATATTTTATTTTATACAATTTTTTAATAATTTAATTAGAAAAAAAATTATTTAACTATATATATATATAATGATAATTAAAGAAAAAAAAAGTAAATTAAATTTAAAATATATTTGGTTAATAAAAATCAAACCTGGGTTTAATAGAACAGTAATTTCATTTTTTCACTCAATAAATCAATGTTTTAAAGACCAGCATCAAAAAATCAAAGAAAAAAAAAATAGAAAAAAAGATAAAGATATAGATAGAGAATTTAGACATAATACAAAGCACAACATGAACGATCCAATGGTGGAAAATAATGATTTTACAGATAGATCAATATTCAATAAACATCAAGATAATGCATATAAAAAAAGTCATACTCATCACCACCATCACCCACACGAAACAAAACAAGACTACTTTGAAAAGGATATAAATACAAATGAAAATATTAATATTCCATATGTCAAAGGAGAAATTGCAACAGATAAAAAATATTTTGATAATACCAATTATTTAGAAGAACTATCATCACTCGAAAAGAAATATAATATAGAATTAAAAAATGGTAATTTATCAAACGAAACTTCTTTTGAATATGCTAAAAAACTATCTCACTCTCAAAATAAAGAAAATAGAAGAAAATCTATAGATTTATTTTTAGGTATGTTAAAAAACAATCTGTTCTAATGGATACATATAAACACTTTTAAAGTAAAATATAATTATATTAAATTATTAATTTTTTATTATATTTAGAATTATTAAAAAATGATAAAGAAAATCAAGAAAGATATTTACTTGAACTTGGTACAACCTATTATAAACAAGAAGATTATAATAATGCAAATGTATACATCGATAAAGTTTTACAATCTTCACCTTTAAATAGACAAGCACTTTCATTAAAATATTTAGTCGGTCCAGTTAATCCACCCCCTATCCAAGTAAACTCGTAATTTAAAATAAATATATAGTTTTAAAACAATATTATTATAGAAATAATTATGGCTGTAGTTATTATTTTATTTTTTTTAAATATATACAAGTTTTTTTATTTTATTTTATTTTTTATTAATTATTGATTATTGATTGTTATGTTGTTGTGTGATGGTTTCTTTGTTTTGATTTGTTATGTCTACAGTTGGATTTGATATTGCTTTTTGTTTTTTCTTTTTTTTTATTTTTTATTTTTTTTTAGTTCTTTTATTTTTTACTTTTTTTTTATTATTTTTTTTTTTTTATTATTATTATTATTATTAATGTTATTATACGATTATTAATATTATTATATAGTTTATTATATTATTTGTTTACAAATCATCTATAGGAAACTTTTCATCTTTGTCGTCATCGTCATCATCATCATCGTCATCTTTATCAGAAGAGTCTGAATATGAACTGAGATCACTCTCTGAATCACTTTCTTCGTTTTGAGCATTTTCTGAAGCATATTTTGAAACAAATTCTTTAACTCTCATTTTATATCTTTCTGGTTCTTTTAAAAGCATTGATGCAGCTTCTCCATTTAATGGATCTGTTGGATTTGGATATAATAAAAGTTGAGGAAGAAAAATTTCAAATATATTAATAAGATCAAACATTGGTGACCATGTTTGATTAATAACATCTAAACATACTGATCCAGAGCTATAAAATAAAATAAAACTATATTAATATTTTATTAAAGAAAAAAAAAAAAATAAAAAAAAAAAAAGAAAACCTACGCTAAATCTACATTTGGATGATAAATTTTATTTATAAAACCAATTGATGGTGATTTGTAAGGATAGTTTGGTGGTAATTCGACTCTTACTTTCCATGATCCTCCGTGGTATGGGCTATCTTTAGGTCCGTGAAATTTAACAAAAAACTCTGCCATTGAATCTCCTGCCATTGTCACTTCATAATCGCTCATCATTCTATAAAAATCATATAAATATTAATATTTTTTTCTACATTATAAATTATCATCTACAATTGTTTTTAATATTTACAATTTTGTAAGATCTAAATCCCTTCTTCTATTTGGTGATGACATTTTTTTTCTCGTTCTAATTTACTATATTGGGCTGGTGAGTGAGTGTGTGTGGTTATATATTTACAAAAGTTATAATTATTATTATTTTATATAATTTCTATTTAAAAATAGTAATGGATTATATAGAAACTGTACAATGAAAAAAAAAAATATTTTATTTATTTATCTATTAAATATTATTTTGATAGAAAGAAAAACTGAATTATATTATATTATACTATTAAAAAAAAAAAGGACTTTAGATTTTTGCTTTGATATATATACAAATAACTATATTATTATTAAAAATAAAAGAAAAAAAAAAAATTAATTTTTAAAAAAATAAAAATTAAAAAAATTTTAAAAAAATTAAATTTTAAAAAAAAAAAAAAAAAAATTAAAAAAATTTAAAAAAAACCAAATAATTTATTTTTTTTTTTTTTAAAATTTTAATATAATATTATCTTCTATTTTAAAATAATAATATTTATTTTAATTTGTAAACTATTACACACAAAATGGTAATATATTAATAATATTTTAAGAATATGGGATACTAATGTGGGGGTTATTTTTATCTTAATAATGTTTATTATTTTTCTGAATTATAAATGAAAAAAAAAAAAAAAAAAAAAAAAAAAAAAACAAATGTGTGCTCCAGATTAAAAAATTCAGTTGAACTTTGTTAGTTATTGACAAGGTTACACAGTGTATATCATCCCAAAGAATGTGATTTAAATATAAAGTTAAAGTCTACAAACATTACAACCAGTCTAGTATTATTAAATTTCACTACCATCATCTCCTCAAGTGGCAAGTCCATAAAAAACTACTGGTACTTGGAGGAATTGATTATGATGAAATAGGTTATAGTCATTGTGCTTTGATCAGAATTGAACGGTAATATAATGCTTATTAGTTTCTTGTATTGGACCGTAGCAGTAAGTGATAAATTGTCATCTGTGTATTTTCAAAGAGTGACTATCAAGATTGGATCTATTGTTTTTTTCCATTTCAAGTTTTTCAGCAACAAAGATTTGTCTACAATAATAATAAAATAAATAAATAATTATAATTGTTATATTTTATCAAAAACAGCAAAATGAAAAAAAAAAAAAAGTCCACTTATATTAAATAAGAAATTCCTCACCTCTTTACAAATAAAGTTATTATAATTTGTTTTTTAATATATAAAATAAATCACACACTTTTTTACTTTAAAAAAAAAAAAATTTTAGATTTTTAAAAAAAATAAAAAAAGATTTTTCTTTATTTATAAATTATGGAAAATTAATAATTCTTCTAAAATTTTTATACATTTTTTTGTTGATTTTATTGATTCTATTGATTCTGAAATTGCCAAATTACTAGTTTCATCTGTATTTCCATTTTTCAAAAATAATAATTTTGATTTAATAATTTTAATATGTTCTTTAATTGATTTAATTTTATGATATTGAATCAATTCTTCTTTTTGATTTCCTATTTTATTTTCCTTTAATATTTGTATACAAGCTTTTATTGATTCTATTGATGTTCTAATGGTTTTAATAACAGTTTTATAAATAATATTTCTATTTTTTAAAAATAATAATATTTTTTCCATAATTTGAATATGTTCTTTAATTGAATTAAGTTTATGATATTTTATTAATTTATTTTGTTGATTTCTAATTTTTTTAAATTGATTTTTAATTTTATTTTCTTCTTTCATTATTTTTTTTTTTTTACTTTAATTTTTTTCTTCTTTTATTATTTTTTTTTTAATAAATAAATTATTTTTTTAATTAGAACAAATAATTTATATTTTATGTTTTAAAATACTATTTAATAATTTATTTTAATTCTTTTTTTATTTTATTTGAATTCCCCCAAAAACACATTAAATCATGAATTTATTTTTTTAAATTTATTATTTTTTAAAAAAAAAATTGAAATCAAAATTTATTAGTTTTTAAAAATAATGGTGTGTTTTTTTTTTTTTAAAATTTATTTTAAATTTTTATTGTCACACAAATATGAATAATACAGTTAACTTTGATAATTTAAGTTACAGTTTATGAAATTAAAAAGAAAGAGGTCCTTGTTATATGTGTAGTAATGTGTATTCAATTCAAAAAAAGTTGGTACCGCCTTGGCAAGCGGTACCCTTACCAATTTATGCCATTTAAATGACACCTTTCCTCCAATCTCCATAGAAAAAAGCCTGTAAAAAGCCAGGGAAAATGATAATGGGTTCTTCATATATGGGGGTTCTCTAAGAAGACCCATACAAAAAAGCTATAAACTATTAGGAAATTTATATATTATCTCAATGTGAATGTCATAAAGTGTTCCTCCATGAATTTTGTAATGTTGCGTTCCATAATCTAAAACTCAGAGTTGTTCAAGCTTAATTATAAATCAAAGAATATAATAAATAATAAATCCATTAACTGTAAAATTTTAAATAAACTTTAAAATAAATATTTATTTAAATTTTATGTCTGTAATGTATGTTTTAACTTTTTTGACACCTCCATATCCATGAAACATAAATCAGTGGCAATATCATTAATGGCTTCCTCTAATAAAACTTTGGAATATGAGGCCAATTCAGAACTGCATTTTTCTATAACTTTAGGCTCCAACACAATGTAGTCTTCTGTGGTTAGATATCCTTTTGATTTTTTGGAAAAGATATCAAAAGAAACAACCAAAGTGGACTTTAATATTGAATTATTGGTGTCTTGATCAAAAAACAAAATATTGTTTCCATTTAGATAGCCAAAACCATAAATGAATTTATTTTCTCTATTAAAACCAACTAGTTGACCACTTTTTAACTCCTTTGCTTTAATTATTTTTACATCATAGCCAGGTACTTGTAATATTTTTGGTGTATCATATATGAATTTATTTTGTCTATTATTAAAACTAAATGGTTGACCAATTTCTAAGATAGGATGTTTTTGGCTCATTTTAGTTTTAAGATCTCTTATTTCAGTTTCGAATTTTCTGATGTGTTCTTCATATATTCTAGTTAATTCTAACAATTTTTTAACATCATTCTTTAACTTTTCATTTTCTTCAACAACTTCTTTGTATGTGGCCTCAAAACATTTAATACCATCAAGTTTAATTTGATTTTTAATTTCAGTATCTATTTCATCATGTATTTCTTGAGAAAATTCCTGAGTGTTGCTTATATCTTCTTCTTTGTTCTCTGTTGTTTGTTGATTTTGTTCATCAGCCATTTTTTTGAATGATATAAGCTTGACAAAAAGATCATAATAAATTTTAATTATTTTTTTAATTTTTTTTTAATTATTTTTTAAATTTTTTTGTTTTAATTAAACAAATTAACCACGAATTTTTTTGGTAACCATTCAATTTGAATGACCAGAGCGAAGGTTAACACAAATTTTATTAATTTAATTTTTTTTTTTTTTTTTTTGGATATTTAATTTATGTTATTTAATTTTTGTTATTTAATTTTTGTTATTTAATTTTGAAATATTATTTTTTTTAATTTTTTAATTTGAAATTCTGTAATTATTCAAGTGTATTGGTAGTTTCACTATATTCGATATATTGCTGAATTTCTCTATCTTTATTGCGTGGTGGCGCTAACTAACAGGATCCAAGTATACTTCAAGTTTCATATATCTTTAGTTTTTGAACTCTCTTTCCAATGTAACCGCGTAGATCAACTTATTCTTATGTTATTTTGTAGGTGAAGTGTTTTTCATGATTTTTTGTAATATATTTGTTGGAATATTGATACTTTACTGTTATGATTTTCCTGGCAAACCGTAATTCTTGTTTTATTTTTTTTTGAAAGTACACTTTTGAGTAACTGTGTGATGGTTTTCATTTATTTTTATATTTATGTCCATTAAATCAATGTATCTTTTTTAATTTTATATATGGGATATAATGGTTTGATTTATTTTTCTTAATTTTCAATAGAGTTGGTAAAATTTTTGACCATACATCTTTACATTTCGTTCTATAATCCCTTTTCTTCTCTATCCATAGTACTTGGAATGATAGTTTCTTGAGTTGAACTGAATTTCTCTGATATATCTTTCATATGTCCAAGCTTTCTATGCTTCTTATTTCTATACAATAATCCTCGTTTGTCGTAATCTTTTCTAACTCGTTCTCTAATTATCGTCATTTTGTGTTGTATACATATCTGGTACATCTATCTTTGAAATTGTTTATATCATTGATCTACATATGGAACATTAATTATAAAGCTAACATGATCAATAGTGTTGTTTTCCTTGTGATGAATTTGAAATTAAAATATCTAATAAAAAAAAAAAAATAAAAAAAAAAATTTTTAAAAAAAAAAAAATATATTTTTTTAAAAATTATAATTTTTTTTTTTTAATTTAATATTATACATATTTTTATTGATTCTATTGATTCTGTAATGGTTGAATTACTAGTTTCATCCATATTTCCATTATTCAATAATAATAATAATTTTGATTCCATAACTTTAATATGTTCTTTAATTGATTTAATTTTATGATATTGAATTAATTCATTTTGTTGATTTTTAATTTTATTTACTTCCATTTTTTAATTATTTCTAAAAGCACAAATAAAAAAAAAAACCCCCCCAAATTTTTAACTTTTTCTGGCAAAAAACTTTGAAATAAGAAATATGTGGGTAAACTTGAAGAGTTTTTACAATATATATAATTTTTTTTATTAAATAAATAAAATAAAAAAAAAATAAAAAAAACAATAAAATATATATATAATAAATAAATATTTTAAATTAAACTTAAACATAAAAACTATATTTTTTTTATTTTTGTTTTTTATATTTTTTTTTTTTTATATTTTTTAATCGATTTTGTTGATCAACAAAATTTTGGGAAATTTGGGAACAATTGTTTTGGCGTATGATCAATATAATAAAAAATTATTGTTTTTATAAAAAAAAAAATATTATTTTGCAAAAGCGGTTCAAATTAACTCAAAAATTTTTTTCAAAATTTGTATTTAATTATTTTTTTTTTTTTTTATTTTCTCCATATTAATTTATTTTATCAAAATAAATAAATTAAAACTATATTGATTTTACTACTCTTAATTTTTCAAGAAAAAACCTTTTAAATAAAATATAAAAAATATGTTTTTTTTCTCCACATCCAGATTTAAATTTAAATTTATTTTAATTTAGTTTTTTTTTTGCTTCTAATATTAGATTTTTTAAAAAAAAAATTTCGAATATACTTTATGTAAGTATTTTCTTTTTTCATAATTTATACCAAGCTCTTTCTATAGAGGGAATGATATTTTGGTGAAGATATTTAAAAATTTTTTTTTTTTTTTTTTTTTTTTTTTTTGGAAAAAAAACAATTGTGGGAAAACCGGGACCCCTTTTCCAAAAATAAAAAATAGGAATCCTCCCCCAAACTTTGGGGGACCTAAAGAAGGGTTTAACCCTTTTGGAAAAAGGCCGAATTTTTTTTTTGGGAAAAAAAATATTTAAAAAATTATTTGATTTTTTAAAAAATTTGGGTTTTTTATTAAGGGAATAAGGTTTATTGGAGAGAAAGGGTTTCTTTTTAAGAATGGGAAACCTTTTCTTTTTTTTTAAAAAGGGGAAGGAACAGGGGGGGAACCCAAAAGGG